TCTCTCTCTCTCTCTCTCTCTCTCTCTCTCTCTCCCTGTCTCTCTCTCTCTCTCTCTCTCTCTCTCTCTCTCTCTCTCTCTCTCTCTCCATCGTCTCTGTGCGCCCGGCAATCCCACTCTGGGTTTCTACCCCAAAGGACCGAAAGCAGAACCTCAGGCACCTGCACCCAGAGGCGGGGCCAGGCCGGTGTCCACGGGCCGATGGCAGGTGAACAGCGGAGACCCTGCCTCGTGCTGCAGCCTGGAGGGGCCTGGGGGATGTGCTGAGTGAGAGGAGCCAGCCACAGAGGACACGGACTGCGGGTTCCCTGTGCTGAGGCACCTGGAGACATCCAGGTCAGCGAGAGGCAGAGAATGCTGGGAGCCAGGCGTTAGGGTAGGGTTAGGGTTAGGGTTAGTGTTACGGTTAGGGTCAGGGTCGGTGTCAGGGTTAGGGTGAGGGTTAGGGTTAGGGTCAGGGTCGGTATCAGGGTTAGGGTGAGGATTAGGGTTAGGGTCAGGGTCGGTGTCAGGGTTAGGGTGAGGGTTAGGGTTAGGGTCAGGGTCGGTGTCAGGGTTAGGGTGAGGGTTAGGGTTAGGGTCAGGGTCGGTGTCAGGGTTAGGGTGAGGGTTAGGGTTAGGGTCAGGGTCGGTGTCAGGGTTAGGGTGAGGGTGAGGGTTAGGGTTAGGGTCAGGGTCGGTGTCAGGGTTAGGGTGAGGGTTAGGGTTAGGGTCAGGGTCGGTGTCAGGGTTAGGGTCAGGGTCGGTATCAGGGTTAGGGTTAGGGTCAGGGTCGGTTGTCAGGGTTAGGGTGAGGGTTAGGGTTAGGGTCAGGGTCGGTGTCAGGGTTAGGGTGAGGGTTAGGGTTAGGGTTAGGGTGAGGGTTAGGGTTAGGGTCAGGGTTGGTGTCAGGGTTAGGGTGAGGGTCAGGGTTAGGGTCAGGGTCGGTGTCAGGGTTAGGGTGAGGGTGAGGGTTAGGGTCAGGGTCGGTGTCAGGGTTAGGGTGAGGGTCAGGGTTAGGGTCAGGGTCGGTGTCAGGGTTAGGGTGAGGGTTAGGGTTAGGGTCAGGGTCGGTGTCAGGGTTAGGGTGAGGGTTAGGGTTAGGGTCAGGGTCAGTGTCAGGGTCAGGGTGAGGGTTAGGGTTAGGGTCAGGGTCGGTGTCAGGGTTAGGGTGAGGGTTAGGGTGAGGGTCAGGGTTAAGGTTAGGGTCAGGGTAACAAAACAAAACAAAACATTGTGATTAGAAACACATCTAGTTTTTATATAGTTTGACTAGTTCAAACAGGACAAGCCCTGGCTGGTGTTGCTCAGTGGATAGAGCATCGGCCCATGGCCTGAAGGGTCCCGGGTTCGATTCCTTGATCCCCAGTAGGGGGCGTGCAGGAGGCAGCCGATCCACAATTCTGCCTCCTCATCCTTGTCCCTATCTCTCCCTCTCCCTTCCTTTCTGAATTCAATAAAAATAAAATAATATAAAATAAAGAAAACAGGACGACCTGTGTCCCTGGGTCACAGGGGGAGATGCTCTCACTCCTTTAGGAGAAGCTGGCGTCTGGAACTGCCACGCTCTCGCCACCAGGGGGCACTGCAGGACCACGGATCCGCGCTGGCCTGGCGTCCGGCCGCTGGGGCTGCCCACGGGGCCTTGCCCTGGGGTTTGGGGCGGCGCCATGCCCTGGTTCTGCTCCCCAACCTTCGATGCATGAAAATCACGATGAAAACCACCTCCTTCCAGCGCCCCAGAGCTTCCTGTTTGGGGAGCAATTGAGAGTGATCTCGTGGCTCCGAGGCGCACCCGCGTGTCCCCACACTCACCTCCGGGTGTCAGCCCCCGCCCCCCAAAGTCAAAAAAGAGGGAAAAAAGCCCAATCAAGGACGCAGAATCGGTTCCTTTGAGGAAACGGACGTCTGATATTAAGGAAGGCGGACAGCATCTTAGGGGCGCTGGTGACGCCCGAGGTGAGGCCCCCCGTGGGGCTGGGTCTGTGGATGCGGAGGCGAGGAAGCGGGTCTTCACGCTCCTGTTGGACCCCCCCCCCAACACCCCCTCCCCCCATGAGGCGGCAGGGGAAGCCAGCTTTCGTGGAAATTTGCGGTGCACGTCACGCCCAGCTTCCTCGTGAACTTCTATTAAGAGGAAAAAAGGGAAAAAAGCCGGCCCGCGTGGCTCAGGGGCTGAGCGTGGACCTAGGAACCTGCAGGTCACGGTTGGACTCCTGGTCAGGGCTCAGGCCCGGGTTGCAGGCTCCACCCCCACCAGCAGGGGGCGCGCAAGAGGCAGCCGGTCCATGATGCTCTCATCATTGATGTTTCTCTCTCTCCCCCTCTCCCTTCTTCTCTGAAATCAATAAAAATATATCTTATTTTTTTTAAAAAAAAAAAAAAGAGGAAAAAAGGAAGAGAGTTCTTCTAATCCGGAGGTTTTCCCAGCCAACCGGGACCCCCCCCCGGAGCCTGCGTGGGTGTCTCCCACCCACACCCTTGACGTGGCCGCTGTCTCCCCGGCCGCCCCCTTGTCTTCGCGGCTGGGGGTCCTGCGTGAGGGAGGCGGGTGTAGCCACACCTGGCGGCGTCCCTCCCACCGCCACCCGCTCCCGGACCGAGCGGGTAATTCTGGAAACGGCTGCTCAGAACATTTGTTTTATGGAGCGACAACAACCCCAACCGCCTCGTGTACGAGCCGGCTGCACACAGCACGACCAATTAGCGCTATTTAATTACTGACAGCCCGGCTTCCAAATGGATTCCCGGCCGCGGAGGAAACACGGAGGCCGGGAGGGAAGCAGATTCCTGACAATCAGTTGGAGAGAAAGGGGGCGGGCGCTGGGCCGGGGAGCCGTCCAGGGGCGCGATGCGGCTGAGGTCTCCCCCACCCCCGGGACGCGACGGGCCGGCCTGTGCCCTGACGGGGAATCCAACCGTGACCTCCCGGTTCATAGGTCGCCGCTCAACCACGGAGCCACCTGAGCAGGAAGCCGTGGGTACATCTTCTTTTAGCCACTGACCAGGTGTCCTGAGTGGCAGCCCCCCTGCCCCCCCCAAAAGCTCCCCCCCAAAGATAGGGGAAGCTCTGCCAGCCACTGTGCACCACGGGGAACCTGCTCAGCCATTTGGGCAGCTGCTGGGACCCGAAGGACTCAGAGAAATCATTTGCAATCACATAGCTGCCCCCTCACCCCCCACAAAAGGCCCCGGATGATTGTTATTCTGGGGAACCCCCCCAGTTTGATTTAGGAAATAGACAATGATTGTGTTGTTTTTAAAATATACATTTTTATTGATTTTAGAGCGTTGGCTTGCGGACTGAAGGGTCCTCAGATCCCCAGTCAGGGCCCATGATGGGTTTGCGGCTCGGTCCCCAGTAGGCGGCGTGCAGGAGGCGGCCGAGGGATGTTTAGCGCTCACATCAATGTTTCTCTCTCTCTACCCCTCTCCCTTCCTCTCTCTGTTTCAAATCAATAAAAACATATTTGAAAAAAGAAATAAAAGACGAACAGAAAGACACACACATCACACACGCAGAAAAGTTCATGCACAGCAGGGAGGCGCGTATCTCAGCGGAAACCCCGAAAGGCTCTCTTGTTGGCAGCAGAGCGCTCGCTTGCCTGGTCTCCCCGGCCGCTCCCGGGCGTTTCTGCAATCACAGGCCCCAGAATGAAACATCTGCTTCTCCCACGGCCGGGAGCGCCCCTCTCCCCCCCAGGTGAGTCCCCTCAGGTGGCTCCTTGTAGCTGTTGGCAATCTCCTTTAAATTCGCAGAATGCTGTCACCTGCTCTGATGTCTGATCCGCTTCGTTCAAAGCCCCAGGCGCGGACCCAGCCCTCCGGCTGACACACCGGCTGCTGCCGGTCATGCGGGCTCCCGGTGTTCTCAGGGCCTCGGGCAGGTGAATAGGCGCTTAAAGGAGCCATCCCGGCTCCCAGTGGGCTCCTGGGGCCAAGTGGGAATTCTTTTAAAAAAATACATTTGTATTGATTTCAGAGAGGAAGGGAGAGGGAGAGGGAGAGAGAGAGAAACATCAATGGTGAGAGAGAATCATGGATCGGCTGCCTCCTGCACGCCCCCCACTGGGGATCCAGCCCACAACCTGGGTCTGTGCCCTGACCGGGAATCGAACCCAGGACCCTTCAGTCTGCAGGCCGACGTTCTATCCACTGAACCACACCAGCTAGGACTCAAGTGGGAATTCTTTTAGGGTCACTGACTTTGGCAGTCACTCCGGGATGGGGTGTGGGCGCCCTCAGGATGGCACGTGTGAGGTCAGAGGTCAGAGGCCCTGCTGCCCAGAGGTTGCTGGGACTGTCCGGTGCAGGGTGAGGGGCCCCAACGCAGCGATCTTGGGGGTCACTGAAGGGAGAAGACCTTTAGACCCCTATTCCCCTCCCCCTGCCCTCCCCCCCACCCCAGGCCAGAGGACGCCCTCAGCTTGGGGTCTGAGGAAGGAAGGAGGGCCCTGGCCGCCTGGCCACCTGTTGGGGTTCCCCCCCACCCCCGCCCGCTCTGACCAGGTACCTCCCCGCCTCCCAGCAGCCCCTCCCCCCGCCACCCCCCCCTCCCGCCCCGCTCACGGGGAGGGGCGCCCAGGAGGGAGGGCGCGGGGGCGAGCGGGGAGGTGGGGTTGACTGTGCGGATTGGGGCTCCCGGCTGTCACTCCGACAGGGTGGGGCTTTTTTAAAGAAAAGGACAATTTCCAGGCAGAGCTCAGAGCCCGCGCGGGGCACCGTGGCGCTCGCCTCCGCGGCTGCGGCGGGTCCTCCTCCGCGCGCCCCGGCCCGCGCCTCGCCGCCGCCTCGGCCGTGCGTTCCGCGCGCCCGGGGTCCGCCCGCCGGGCCAGGCCGGGCGGGCCCGGAGGCCCAGGGGCCGCGGCCGCCAAACTTCGGCGCCGGCGCGCGCGATCCCCCGGGCGCGGCCGGGCGGGATGGGGGCCGAGCGCCGCCCCGCGCGCCCCGCCACCCGGCCCGGAGCCCCCGCGCCGCCGCCGCCGCCGCCCGCGCGCTCGGAGCCGCCCTCTGGGGGCCGGTCCACGCTCGGGTCCTCCGGAGGGGACCCCCACCCGCGCGGATTAAAGTGAAAATACGCGGCGGAGGGGAGGGGGTGGGGCTCGCCCGCGCGCGCCGGGCTCCGGAGCGCAACTCCCGCGCCGCGCGGCGGCCGCCCCTGGCCATGGACAGGCGGGCCGGGCGCGCAGGGCCCCGCGGCTGCCCGCGCCCCTAGCCGCCCTCCCCGCTCTCCCCGCCCGCAGCCCCGCGCGGGCCTCCGCGGACTCGGCGGCGGCTCCCCCGCCCGGACGCCCCGGGGCGGCTCTGCCCTGCGGTCCAGGATGATCCCGTCCGCGCCCGGGCCCCGCCGGCCCCCCGCGCTCCTCGGCCTGGCCGCCCTGCTCTCCACAGGTGAGGCCCGGATTCCGGGCTCCGGGACCAACTTTACTGGGAGTGAGCGCGTGGGCGCGTGTGCGTGGCCGGGGGGGAGGGGGCCGTGGGTGGGCGCGCGCGCATGTGGCCGGCGAGGTCTGCGGGGCCCTTTGCGGCAGGTGCGTCCCCGGAGGACTCGGGGGGGAGGGGAGCCCTGAGCTCCGTGCGCCCAGGGCGCGTTCCGCGTGGAGGCCCTGGAGGGGGCGGCGGGCAGGGCGGGCTGAGTGGCTGCGGGGGAGGCGCTCCGTGACCTGTCGGAGGCGACCCAGGGCGGGCCGTCCCGTGCGGGTGCGGGTGCGGGTGCGGGTGCGGAGGCCGCCGGGCGCCCTGGCTGCGGAGACCCGCGTTGCTTAGCGCCCGGTCTCCCTCCCGCCCGTCTCGCTGCAGGTCGCCCGCCCCAACTTGTCACCGAGTTACCCCAGCAGCGGGGCCGGGACGGGCGCCTCCTCCTGGCCCCTCCTGCGGGGAGCCCCCGGCGTGTCCGTGGCCCCGAGCGTGGGACGGGGCTCTGCTCCCCCCGAGGTGTCAGTGATGCCTCGTCGCGGTGGGTGGATGGGGCTCTGCGTTTGCGTGTGGTCCCCCCTCCCGCTTCCCTCGCGCCCCCAGCAGCCTTTCCTACAGGGAAACGGAGAGGAGCTCTTAGGGCCCCCTGGGTGCGCCCCCAGTTCCTGGAAACAGATTTTCCCCCGAGGAGCTTCCGAACCAGGGAGGCGCGGGGTTTCATGCCAGGAATTCTCTGTGTTCAGTTGCTTCACGGGACGGTGGCCTGGGGGTTGGCGCTGGTGCCTGGAGAGGGGACCCGGCCGGCGCAGTGGGGCGCAGTGGGGCGCAGTGGGGCTGGCGTCTCCAGATGATGAGTTAGAGCCCCAGGCCCCGAGCTGGGATTGATGGTGTGTAGGGGGCACCCCGGAGGAGAGAGGTCATGGAATCAGGCTCGAACCCAGGCAGACGTGAGGTTAGAGACACCAAGTCCACCCGGCCAGCGGGGCTCAGTGCCTGAGTGTCGACCTAAGGAACCAGGAGGTCAGGGTTCCATCCGGGTCGGGGCACAGGCCTGGGTTGCCGGCTCGATCTCTAGTGGGGGGCGTGCAGGAGGCTGCCGGTCCATGACTCTCTCTCATCATGGATGTTTCTCTCTCTCTCTCTCTCTCTCTCTCCCTTCCTCTCGGAAATCAATAAAAATATATTTTAAAAAAAGAAAAAACAATTCTAAAGTGCCAGCAGCCCTGTGGGGACACTCACGCACACACACTCACTCTCACACACACACACACACGTGATACACAGTCACACACACTAACACACTCACACACACACACACACACTCACTCACACACTCACACACACTCACACGCACGCACACACTCTCACACACACGTGACACACAGTCACACACACTAACACACGCACACACACACGCACACACACACCACACCACAACACATGCACACTCTCTCACACACTCTCTCTCACACACTCACTCACACACACTCACACACACACACACACACCACACCACATGCACACACTCTCACACACTCTCTCACACACTCACACACACTCACACACACATACACACACACACACACTCTCACACACACGTGACACACAGTCACACACACTAACACACTCACACACACACGCACACACACATGCACATACTCTCACACACTCTCTCACACACACTCACACACACATACACACACACACACGCGCGCGCGCACACGGCTCCCAGGCGTGTGACTTACTGGCTGTCACGCGGCTTCCTCACAGCGACGGCCTCTCTGGTTTACGAAGAAAGGAGCAGGGTGGCCTGTCACCGCGGCCTGACTAGGGGGCATCTTGTCGTGGAGGAGGGTCTGCCAGTGTCCTCGGCGCGAGGGGCTCCGTCCCGGGAGGTCCGGGTGTGGGCAGTGACACCGTAAGCCCGGACGCTTGGCGTGTGATGTGTCCGTGTGCTGAGCTTGGAGAACCTGGCGCAGCCGTGTGCACAGGTGTGACGGCGCGCGGTCCCGGCCCGGCTAAGCGATTTGGGGGTCATTCCCAACCCGCTGACGAGCAGGAGGCACCCGCCCCTCCCCGGCGAGGGTCCCGGCTCCTGGTGCCGACGGGATTCCCGAGGCTGGTCCCCACGGCTCCCGTTCCATCGTGTCCAAATCGCTTCCCCTCCCAGGTCCCCCGGCTCCCAGAGCTCCGGCCCAGCCCGACCTCCACTGTGGACTCCGTTGGGGAGGGTTTCACTCGGCCCTGGCCAGTGTTGCTCAGTGGTTGGAGCGTCGGTCCGAGCACTGCAGGGTCATGTGTTGGATTCCCAGTCAAGGACTCATTGTACCTGGTTGCAGGTTCGACCCTCAGCCTCATGCGGGAGTCAACCAATCAATGTGTCTCTCTCACATCGATGTTTCTCTCTCCCTCCCTCCCTCCTACTCTCTCTCTCTCTAAAAAAAAAAAATCAATGGAAAAGATACCCTCAGGTGAAGATTAATGAAAATAAAACAAAGGATTTCATGGGAAGCAGGCACAGGTCACACACAGGCACACACAGCCCCGAGCACCTGACGGACGGATGGAGGCATTGCCGACGTCGCCTGCTCGCTCTGGGTGTCGCTGTCCACTGTGTGGGCCTCGGTCGTTCCAAATGTGAATCTTTGAACAGAGACGCGACTCTTAGCACCAGGCTCATGTCCTTGGACCCCACCTATGGTTACGGGAGGGAGGGAGGGTCACAGAGCAAACCCCCGCCCATACGGCTTTGGGAAAGTAAATAAAAAATAAAATTCCATCGCTGGCACTTCTGGCCCTTGGGACCCAGGACCCAGACAATGAAGCGAAAAGTTTTTCTCAGCCGGCGTGGCTCCGTGGCTGAGCGTCGACCTAGGAACCAGGAGGTCAGGGTTCGATTCCCAGTCAGGGCACAGGCCCGGGTTGTGGGCTCCATCCCCAGTGTGGGGCATGCAGGTGGCAGCCGATCAATGATTCTCTCTCATCATTGATCTCTCTCTCTCTCTCTCCTGCTCCCTTCCTCTCTGAAATAAATATATATATTTTTATTTTTTTTTTAAAAAAATGTTTTATTGATTTTTTTACAGAGGGGAAGGGAGAGGGATAGAGAGTTAGAAACATAGATGAGAGAGAAACATCGATCAGCTGCCTCCTGCACACCCCCCACGGGGGATGTGCCCGCAACCAAGGTACATGCCCTTGACTGGAATCGAACACGGGACCCTTCAGTCCGCAGGCCGACGCTCTATCCGCTGAGCCAAACCCGCTACGGCTATATATATTTTTAAAAAGTTGCCCGCTATACTTGGTCAAACATTTAATGAACTCACCCCTGATGCCTTAGCAGGGCCAGACCAAGCGGTTCCATGGGCCTTCCCGCCGGTAGACGCCCTCCTGCCACATGCTCCCACCTGCCCTGAGTAAAGAGCATTTCCCCTGAGGGTTCCCTTAAAGTTGTGCCCTGCGTCCCCCAGGCCTCATGGCTCCAGGAGCCGCCCGGCATCCGGGAGGACGGAGAGGCGCAGCCGGTTGGAGGGGAGTAGGAGGAGCTGATACTAAACACCGTGGGACACAGTTGCCGTAAAGCGGCCGATGGGTGCCAGGCCGTCCGAGCCGGCGATCTCCCACTCTTCGGGGGGTCAAACTTTAATTTTTTAAAAAATATTTTTATTGATTTCAGAGCGGAAGGGAGAGAGAGAGAGAGAGAGAGAGAGAGAGAGAGAGAGAGAGAGAGAGAGATATCAACGCTGAGAGAGAATCGCTGATCGGCTGCCTCCTGCACGCCCCGCACTGAGGATCGAGCCCACAACCCGGGCCTGTGCCCTGACCGGGAATCCAACCGTGACATCCAGGTTCCTAGGTCGACGCTCAACCACTGAGCCACACCTGCCGGGCTGGGCTGGGGGAGGGGGTGTGGTTTTAAACCTCAGAGGCAGGCAGCCCCCTGTTCCCCTCCATTTCCCCGCAGAGAGGACTTTGGGTCCCGCTCCGACGGCGGCTCAGAGGCGGCTCTCGGCGCCTGCTCCCCTCGGAGGAGCCTGTGTGTTTGAACGTGATGGGCGCTTTGTTTGCCGCGACTGTGATTGTGCGGATCCTTAATTAGACGGGAGCACGAGGCACAATGGAAATCACCGTGTGGGTAAACATTTGCATGGCGGCCGTTACAAGCTGCTCCCGGACGCACAATGGCTTGTTTGCGCGACAGGCGTTCAGCCTTTTGAGATGCGATAGGCGGCAATTCTGTTGACAGGGAGGGAGGGCAGCACCGACGATTTACTCACATTTCCGGGGCCATGTCAGCCGCGAGCGGGCAGACGGAGGCTGTGCTGCACAGCCGCGTACTGGCCGCTTACAACTGAGTTCTGCCCCCCTATCCCCCCCCAACCCCCAGCCTCAGTGGGTTGGCCTCTGTCCCACCCCCAGCTGCACCCACACCATCTGGCAGTGGAGATGGCAAAGCCTGTCCCCTGTGCTGTGCCCACTGGACGTCCTTGTGTCTTCAAACATTTGTCCCTTTTTTTAAAAAAAATATATTTTTATTGATTTCAGAGAGGACGGGAGAGGGAGAGAAGCATCAATGATGAGAGGGAATCACGGATCAGCTGCCTCCTTCACGCCCCCCACTGGGGATGGAGCCTGCACCCCGGGCCTGTGCCCTTGACCGTACTCAAGCCTGGGACCCTTAGTCTTTAGGCTGACGCTCTATCCACCGACCCACACCGGCCAGGGTGGGGGAGCCAATTAAAAAACAACCCATATATTTATTGCTTTCAGAGAGAGGAAGGGAGAGGGAGAAACATCAGTGATGAGAGAGAACCGGGGATGGGCTGGTCCCTTAGCGAGGAGGCCTCAGAGTCAACCCCGTGTGGTGGGGTTCCCGGTGCTGCCGGCCGGCACCGCCGTGAAGAAACCACCTCCCTTATCACCAGCTCCCCAGACAGGCCGGGCGGGCTGCCAGGCACAGTCCAGCCGGAGCT